TTTGATTAAACTTGGTACATCCTCTACCTTTTATTTTTAAGCATTTCCACCCCAAGCAAGGCGGGAAGCCACTAGCACGCAAGAGAGTTGGAGCGAGAGCAAATAGGAGTGATAGAGGAAATTTATGAAGAGAAGGTTAGGGAAAGATCAGGGCATCTGGAGACGTCAATTGACATTACATTTGAAGATTGGAGATTATAGCTATCAGGAAAACAAGAAATGGGGAGGGAGTTCCACAGGCGCGAAGTGCGAGACATGAAGCTATTGGAGTATAAGAGACGGCTACATTTAACAGTTTCGACATTGAAAGGGTGAGAGCAAGATGCCAGCCTAGTAGAACGCTTAAATTCATGAAGTCTGGGAACCAGCGAAAGCAGCTCATCGGAGCAGTTACCGTGAAAGTATTTGTAAAAAAGACAGAGGAAGGCAACGGCACATCTGTGAGAGAGCGGCTGCAGACGAGATGCCAGATCAGAGCCAATTACAATGTATATCCGTCTTTGGATTTTATCAAGGACCTTGAGACAAACAAAAGGGCCTCCAGACCATATATGGCAGCAATACACCATGCAAGGGCGAATGGTTGATTTGTAGATTTGAAAGGATTGACTCCGGCGAGAAAAATTTCCTGACGTGGCACAGGGAGCCAACTTTCCTTGCGGTGGACAAAACAATTGACTCAATGTATTCGTTCCATCTCAGGTCAGCAGACAATGTGAGACCGAGCAGTCGCAAAGAGGTGTCTCGTGGAGTTAAGCGTCAGACATTCTAATGGGAGACTGGGATGGTTCTCTGTGGTGAGGAATCGAGAGCAGTTTTGTTTTTGAGGCATTAAAGTTAACCAGCCAATTCCTGCTCCAGTCCACAACCGATTGGAGGTCTTTTCGAGACAAACAGCCAGGTTAGTTTTGTCGGCGACACTAGACTTGTTTTTGAGGCAAGAATAAATAGTAGTGTCGTCCGCATCGATGCCTACTTGGGAACCTCTCGGTAATTTGTTTTTTCGATTTCAACCCCAAGTAAAGAAGTAAAGCCACTAAGACACAAGAGATTACTAGATGTCGAAGAATTAGAAAACAGAAACTTTACCAAGGAGCAAGAACAAAATAGAACAATCAGGAATACAGTAGAAAGTGATTGTTCTAGCATTAAATTTTTTAAAATTCAAATTTGGCTGGAAAGCATAGAGCCAGAAGAGTGTTCCATAATCGAGAACTGCGAGAAAAGAAACTGTCAGCATAGAACTTACGGCTACATCAAGCCAAATTAACTTTAAATTAGTGAGGCCTCGTCACCGGTCTAGTTCTAGTTCTGCACTTAAATACAAAAAAGTTTTAGTTACCCTGGCAAACAGGTCATTCTAAAAGTTACCATGGAAGTATTTATAGAAAAGGGAGGCAACTTTACGGAGGTGAGAATGTAACTGAAGCTGAGACGTCAGATCAGGACCAATAATATTGCTGATTCTTCTTTGGATATTATTAAGGATTTCTAGATATATGGTAGGAAAACCAGACGACAAAGCAATATTATAAGCATGAACAAATGGTAGACTTATAGATATATAAGATAGATTCAGGAAAGAAATATTTTCTAGCCAGACATAGGGAGCCAACTTCAATGGAGTCAATGCTGTCTTTGCACTTCATATCAACCGAGAAAGCGCAATGAGTCACTCTCCTGGAGATTAGCATCAGCCATACTGATGGAAGGCAGAAAGTGCTCTCTCAGATGATTAATACAGAGCAGTTTTGTTTGCGAGGCATTAAAATTAACAAGTCATCCTTTGTCCCAGTTAACAACTGACTGTAGGTCATTTTTGAGAGCGGCTGCCAATTTGACATTATCAATCTGATCAGACTTACGATCAAGACAGGAGTAAGGTTGTGTCATCAGCATAGATACGAAGTTGAGACCAAACTTTATATATAATCATAAAGTCATATCACATTATTTAAAATAGAATTTGATTTCTATTAGAAACTATAGTTCTTTAGCATATAATTATTATTTTTTTTTACAGAACGACAAATATTAACAACAGAATAGTTTGAAAGAAAAGCAAATTTTACAAGATATCATCTTTCAAATGTTAACCTGAATAATTAAAAAAATAAATTTAGTTTAGCGGTTTAATTTGGTTTAATTTTTAGCCCACATTATATATATATATAATATATATATTTTTATATATATATATATGTACATATATATATATATATATATATATATATATATATATATATATATATATATATATATATATATATATATATATATTATATATATATATATATAATATATATATATATATATATATATATATATATATATATATATATATATATATATATATATATATATATATATATATATATATATATATATATATATATATATATATATATATATATATATATATATATGTATATATATATATATATATATATATATATATATATATATATATATATATATATATATATATATATATATATATATATATATATATATATATATATATATATATATATATATATATATATGTATATATATATATATATATATATATATATATATATGTATATATATATATATATATATATATATATATATATATATATATATATATATATATATATATATATATATATATATATATATATATATATATATATATATATATATATATATATATATATATATATATATATATATATATATATATATATATATATATATATATATATATATATAATTTCCAAATTACAATTCTCTAAATTTGTTTTGATTTCCGGAGTTGTTTTTTCTGTTTTTTTTTGAATTTGTAGGTCTGATGAATTGATCGTATTTACGATTCCAATGGAATAAATTATGACCATGGAATATTAGTGTTTAAGCCTTTTTATTATATATATATATACATATATATATATATATAATGAGCTCTTGAAAAATATATTTCAATTGAGCACTGTTGAGAGATAAGCTGATACTATAAACAACAGCCATCTGCGCTAATGCAAAGCTCTTCAGTAAAATGAATTGGAGCCCTCTGACTGATCGGTGTTTGTTTACATTAGTAAAAACAATACGCTAGAATTAGCTGCTCCCCTCTGCTGAATGATGGTAGCTCAGTGGTAGAAACTCTGACTAATACCAAATCAATCGGGTTTCGATCCTTGTCTAATCTGAGGAACTTGTGACACAACGAAACAGTACTGTCTGCGAATGATATATAATTTATTTATTCAATTTTTTAATTAAATATTATGTTTATTTGGGTGAGTGGTTGACTTAGAGATATGTAATATCTCTATCTATAAAAGGCAGGATGTGTGTGTGTGTGTGTGTGTGTAACGAATGCACGACCGCAATTTTCGACGGATTTGCACCAACATTTACATGCACATGCTCCAAATTAGTGGATAGGCCAAGACCGACTTTGCATTTCCCAACTCCCATCGATAGTGGAAATAATCGATTTTTTTCGTGCTTCTACGGCAGTTTTCATGTAGTTTGCGGCCATTTTCTATTGGCCAGAGTGAGAGCCTATAGCTGGCTACCACGAATAGGCAAGAAGATTCTATTGGCCAGCGTGAGAACCAACAGCTGACTGACACGAATGTTAACTAGCATGCTAGCATGCAAAAAAAATCGATAGCTGCATTCGTCACAAGTGGGGAAAATTTAAATCTGCATGGCACTTTACTCCAATTGGCTCATTTGCTTGCTTAAACTCAACGTAGATTCTGATTCCGCAGAACTGGGTTGGGTGTGAAAAAGTATTTGTTGTTAACATTCTTTTTTCATTCGGTTTTTCCAGTTACGAATCCTTTTTTAAAGCTGATCGTTTTGTGTTCATTTTGTTTAATTCTTTTTTGTAACAGATTTAATGTTTCGTATAGTGCATAGAAAAAATTCGCAGTGTGAGATAGGCAAGAAGTAAGGCATGTAGTAACATCAGCACGGCAAAGGGCACTCCTTTAAAGGCAAGGAAGGGCAAAAATATTTTAAGTCAAGTGATAGCGATTACTGTATGAGTCGTACGATTTTTTAATCAAGCACGGGCAACGCCGGGCCATGCTGCTAGTATACACTAGAGAGAAAAGCCGTATAGCACGTCAGATTGAACCAACTTTTTAGCAGCTGACCTAGCAATGGATTCAATGCAGTCTTTCCACTACGTCAGTGCTCTCTCAGATGATTGATAGAGAGCAGTTTAGATTTGGACATGTTAAAATTAACATGCCATCATTTGCCCCAATTAACAACAGACTGAAAGTCGTTTTTGACATCAGCCGCCAATTTGACCTTATCGGATCGATCAGATTTAGTATTGATCCTGGAATAAATGGTTGTGTCATCAGCACTGTTATTAAGTTGAAAGCTATCTGGAAGGTCGTTGATGAACATTCAAAACAAAGTAGGACTAATGATAGAAGCCTGGGGGACACCTGCATTAGTGCAAAAGAATCTAGAAGAATGGCCGTTTAGAGTAAATTTCATTTTACGATTTGATAAGAAAGAACGGATCAGTTCGAAAATTTGACTGGAGAGGCACCATAATATTTCAATTTGTTAGGAAGGCATGCAGGACAAACCCTGGAGAAAGCTTTCGAGATTTCCCAAGCAACAGCCCGAGTCTCACCATTCTTACTTTGAGTCTATAATATTTTCTGTGCTTCTTTCTTGACTATTCTCTTATCAAAACGGACAAGCAACGTCAAGAATTCAATTATTATTTGCCAGAAATCTCGGCCAAGTACTTTTGAAAGCAGAACGATAAGAAATCGTCTTAATAACTTTATAAATTTATTATCCTTTATGCTGCATCGACAAGTTTTGTCTCGAAATAGATCTGCTGGTGATTTAATACACAAGATAGTTTCATTGAAAAAAAGTCATTTAGACAATAACTACAATCCACACAGAAAAGACAGACTGATGAAATATTGAAACTATTGAGTGAATGTTCAGGAAATGGAGCCAATCACGAAATGACGCGTATTTATAATTTCTCTTTTTTTTGCTCTTCCTTTCTTTCTTTCTTTCTTTCTTTCTTTCTTTCTTTGATTCTTTCGTTTTCTTGTTTCATTCTTTCTTTCTTTTCTCTTCTTTCTTTCTTTCTTTCTTTCTTTTTCTTCTTTCATTCTTTCTTTCTTTCCTCTTCTTTCTTTCTTTCTTTCTTTCTTTTCCCTCTTCTTTCTTTCTTACTTTCTTTCATTCTTTCATTTTTCTTTCATTCTTTCTTTCCTCTTTTTTTTTCATTCTTGCCTTTACTTTCATTCTTTCTTTCTTTCCTCTTCTTTCTTTCTTTCATTCTTTCTTTCCTCTTCTTTCTTTCTTTCTTTTATCTTTCTTTCTTTCTTTCCGCTTCTTCCATTCTTTCTTTTTCTTCTTTCATTCTTTCTTTCATTCCTTTTCTTTCTTTCTTATTTTCTTTCATTCTTTCTTTTTTCTTTCATTCTTTCATTCCTCTTCTTTCTTTCTTTCTTTTTTTCTTTCTTTTCCTTCCTGACTCTCTCGCACACTCCTTTCACGACTTTACCTTTCCATTTCTATTCCCTTCACTATTTCTTCTTATTCCTCTCTCTTCTTCACCTCTCCCTTCACTTTATCTTTTTCCTTCTCTCAATCACTCACTCCTCCCACCATGTTGATATAAACTTACTTTCGCTCACTCTCTCTTCGTTCACCCTATTTGCTTTTGTTATTATCACCCTCATTCCGTTTTTCGTTTCTTTATCTATTTCCTCTCTCTCTCTCATTATCTTCCTGTCTATCGAACACATCCCATGATACTTCTTCCCACCCATTCCCCTATCAATATTATTTTATATGGGTTATTTCATCTCAACTGTTCATTAACTATACATAGATTTGATACAATCTCCGGTCCTCATCCAATATACGAACTGTTTTAGGCAATAAAACCATTTGACGAGGAGAAAATAGAATCAATTACCAGACGCAATTTTGTATACAACAAATCTTCAAATCGTCTGATACTTAAATATTCTTCTGACTAGTGCAATTCCAAAAACGAACAAAATGAATTTTTGATTAGTTCATCATACGTTATCATGAAAAGGCGTCGGTTCGTGAAGTTCCTGACAGAGTAATTGTGAGTTCAATCCCTGGGAGGCATTGTACAGACTTAGACTCGGTAGAATCATGGCGCACAATAACTGAGCAGTTCTAAATAAGAACAAAACGAAATATCCCAAAGCATTAACCTCGGAACGAGAACATTTGATACCTGTAGATTAAAGTTTACCTGGATCGACCACCACCTGAAGAAGGCCAAAGGGAACAACAGTCGAAACGTCTTGATATTAAAACCATATTAGATCTATACATTCTGGATCTCTTACTATGAAGAAAACTAGTCACGCAGGCCATTGCGACTGTTGTGATTTCAGTCTTCAGTAATGGTCCCAAAGTTATGCCCTTATGCCGAACTTGACTAATTAAGGTCATAAGGACACCACCTGTAATGTATGCGTATTTCGAACACGATAGCCTGACTAACTGTTGTGGTAAGAGCCAGTTGACCTCCTTACTATAATGAATGAACTAATCCATTCATGATAAGTAATCAGGGTAATTGTTTAGGTGAAAGAAAATAAAACTATTGTAATTACTTGTCTAACTGAGGATAGTTACCTGGCAGAGATGCTATCACGTCTTAGACTAGCTTGGACCAGCTTGGATAAGCTATGGCAAGCTTAGACCAGCGGCCCGAGTGAAAACACTCGGGTCTTCACGTGAGCAACCGACCTTATGTCACAAGCTGACTCAATGGGAGAGTCAAGTAAATCTCTACTTTTCTAAGTATTGAATACTACTATAATGACTGACTCCGCTGAGTTATGTGTGGTGCCTTTCCAGAATTAGTAGCGACAACACAGGACATGTTTCCGGTGGTGGAGATTTCTAACGCTAGGCAGATCGACTGTTTGATTTAACCAAACTACGTGGTCCACTCACACACTAACCCCATAAATGTTTGCTTCACTTGTAATGAACTATCTATCTTTTGTGATGTCACCGAACACTCCTTGCCACTTTTGTAATGTCAACGAATGCTCGTTGTCACTTTCGAAATGCTCGTTGTAGTAGAGACTTTGTAATCGCAGATAAAACTATAGTACACCTTTAAACAATACTGGTGTCAGACGTCTTCGAATAACACTCACACTAATAGTACTTGCTCGATAATACTCGCTCGAAAAGTAACCACTGAATAGTGATCCCAATAGTAATCTGTATAGTATAGTAATCAGTATAGAGAAAATAGTATAAAAATAGTATAGAGAATATAGATCTGTATAGTAATAAATGATAGAATAGAAATGATGATCGTTTAGATGTCAAGCTACTTCCCACTTATACGTTTCCCCCATGGTCACATGATCCACTCAATTCAATAATGGGATCGCCTGTGTTTGCTCTCTGGCGATCGGTGTTCAAACTCCAGTTTCGGCAACGACATTTTATTCCTATATAACACTTCCTCTATCAAATGACTTCCTCTAGAGTCTATATTTCTTCAGCTTCGTTTCAATATTCAAATGTTCCGTTGCTGTTTTTTTTTCTTTTACTGGTACATCTCAACTGTTCATTAACTATTCTTTCATTCTTTCTTTTTCTTCTCTCATTCTTTCTTTCTTTCCTCTTCTTTTTTCTTTCTTTCTTTTTCTTCTTTCATTCTTTCCTCTTCTTTCTTTCTTTCCACTCAATTCACTAATTTCTGGTGGCGTGGGTATGTCAAACGTGTCATACAATATCACCACCGGTAACTCTTTTCCGTGGACTTACTAAATCAGTGAATTTCCGTTTTAACTGATTAAGGTGTCGCTTATGTTCCCACCTTTGTCTCTGTACCGTGTATGTTATTTTGCTGATACGTTTTTTTTTTTTTTTTTTTATAACGCCATCTTTCGAGAATTCCTTTCAGGTTGATAGATTTTAAAATACCTTATCTCCAGGTTTAAAGTAATTAGTTATATTGTCATTTCTTGATGCTTACGTTCCGGTAATAATTTATTAAAAACGGACTTAATCAATTAGGCTTCTCATCACTACTCCATGTATTTATCATGTTCACAGGCGTTTTCTTTTTTCTCCATTTTTTGTGTCTGCAATACGTACTTTTGTGTCCTAATCTCCCACATTCATAGCATTTTTTGCTCCTAAAGAAACAATTACCTTTAAAATAGTTACCACCACAACCGTAGCAAGTATTAGGTATTGAGGGGGGGGATTATAGTATTTTTTACTGTTCTGTTAGGAATTGCAAAACGTTTGTAGTTTTTTTTTCTCTTAGATGGTCAGACACTATGTACCTGTGAATTGTCTTCTTCCTCAATCCGTGCGATATCGAGTTTCAAATTCTGAATACGTTGACACTCTTCCGCTATTTTCTGGAGAGTTAATTTGGGATCCATTTCTAATTTAGTAAGTATCCTGGATTTTATCTCCGTGTCCTTATTAGAAATTAAACCCTGTACAAATATCAGGCATTTAAATAAATCAGGAACTGATTCATTTAACTTGAACTTTTCACATTCTCGATTCACGACTCCTGCATAAGTGACAAAATCTTCATCGTCGGACTTTGCTAAGTTAAGACATTGCAATCGTGTATTAAATAATGAACTCCCATTACCAAAAGATTTTGATAGAATTAGAACGCTCTCATCAAAATTTATCTCTCCTGGTTTTTTCGGCAAAATATAATTCTTATAATAATTCACCCATACACGAATGAACACTTCCAGTTATAAATACGAGGAAGTACTGTCTTTTAGAAAGTGTAGTTTCCAGCAGTCGAGTCTGACAGTCGGACCGAACATTCTTGCTCGTTTGTATATGTTTTGCATTAATGTTTCTGTTAATATATTTGTTTAACTCGATTCCTCTCTTTGTGGATTTATTTCTGACCCGAGCAAGACCACGACAATAATTCACATATTTTTCATGTTCAGCAGGGGACAATTTTCTTAATAATAATCGAAACTATCATTCCAATGCGGACAAACCCTTTTGAAGATCCTTTCGTGTCTTGTATAATAAGCTGCAAAAATTATCCCTTCATCTGGATTGTACACAAATTCGCTGATTGAAGGAACAACAGCATCTGGAGTGAATGAATCTGAAGTTTGTCTTCCATCGTTTTGATAAACAACTCAACAAACGTCTATTGTTTTAGTTGTAATTGTAATTGGTGTTCATGTTGTTGTTTTTGTTGCTGCAATTGTTGTTCTTGTTGTAGTTTTTTGTTGTTTCAAATGCTGTACTTGTTGTTGCTTTTGTAGCGCCAACATTTGAAACATGATAGCTTTTAGTTCCTCCATTCCGTTGTACTCTGCTGAATATTTAGATGATAAATTTTTCCTCGTGTAAATTGGATGAATCTTCGTGTAAGTTCAAGCAATCATCGTCGCCACTTTTTTGATGTCAACGAACACTCCTTGCCACTTTTGTATTGTCAACGAATACTCGTTGTCACTTTCGAAATGCTCGTTGTAGTAGAGACTTTGTAATCGCAGATACAACTAAAGTACGCTATTAAACAATACTGGTGTCAGACGCCTTCGAATATCACTCGCACTAATAGTACTTGCTCGATAATACTCGCTCGAAAAGTAACTACCAAACAGCGATCAGAATAGTAATCTGTATAGTGATCAGTGTAGAGAAAATAGTATAGAAATAGTATAGAGAATAGCGATCCGTTTAGTAATAGAGGATAGAATAGAAATGATGGTCGTTTAAACCTCACGCTACTCCCTACTTATGCGTTTCCCCCATGATCACGTGGTCCACTCAGTTCAATAATGGGGTCGTCTGTGCTTGCGCTCTGGCGATCCATGTTCAAACACGTTATTCCTATATAACATTACCTATCACTCTCTCTCTCTCTCTATCTCTCTCTCTCTTTCTATATATATATATATATAAAAGAGAGAGAAAGAGAGAGAGAGAGACAAAAGACAACGACAAAAAGTGTGGGCAAATATTACTGTGGCTATGATCCTCGCTGTGGCACAATATGTGAACTTGTATGCAGGTCACTAGCGCGACTGAAGTATTATATACGACAGAAACATGAAAACTGAATGAGGTTGTCGGATTCCCATACGTCGAAATCGACGGGAGAGTCTAACATCTATATGTATATCAACACACGTACATATTGAAATAATTTATTTTGAAATTTCTCACCCGCATCTGTTACAAATGCCAACCGTATTCGCTATCATTTGCAACATACTCTTCCATTCACTCTATTCTGCCTAATATCTTTCCATATCAGTGACAAGACAAAGTATAAAGACATTCTCAAGAGAATTAATGCAAAGTGAACGAACATTATGCTTGACTTCAAGAATGATACGCCGTTTGCGCTTCCCGTGCTGCTAATCAATGCCCCATGCCTTAATTTGATTTGTTTAGTCGCCTGAAAATTTCCAAAATAGCTCAATTGAGTCAATTCTTTCATCATACTTTGTGTTACTTTTCATTGCATCCTTCAACCTGAACAGCTTTAGATAAGAAAAATATTGAATTTCTAAAACTAAGGAAGATAATCTACGCATGTGCTGAAGCTGTTGTCAGCTCTTATTGTCTGGCTGCAACAAAGGACTCTAAAACT